CCCTCATGCCCCCTCATAGCCCCTCCTTCCCCCAACACATCGGCAGCAATTTGAGACTCACTGCTGTCTGCGGCGTCCCCTGCCGCCCTGACGGCCTCCTCCAGCGCCCTGGCCCGCGGCTCCTTGGCCTTGGAGTACTCGGCTGACGCGCGGTGGGCACCCTCCCTGGGGTGTGTGTGTGTGTCGTGTGTGTGATGTGTGTGTGTGTGTTCGGGACGTGTGTGTGTGTTTCATGTGTGTTGTACGTGTGTGTGTGTTGCTTGTGTGTGTGTGTTGTGTGTGTTGTGCGTGTGTGTGTGTGTTGCTTGTGTGTGTGTGTGTGTTGCTTGTGTGTGTATGTGCGGGTGTGTTATTGTGTGTGTGCATGCATGCGTGTGTGCGTGTGTGAGGGGCGTGTATGTGCATGCAGAGGCACTGTCCCCGCCCCCCACCTGCTGCTGATGATGAGCACGCGTGTCCAGTAGTACACGCTCTGGGGGTGGTGCTGCGCCAGCTCCTTCAGGATGGGCTTCACGCGCGGCGCCTCGGGACGGGACAATGACGTCAGCAGCTGCGGGGCGGTGGTGGGCGTTTGGGGGGGGCGATTGTGGGCGATGTGCTCATACAACGTGAGTGTATATGTATGTGTGTGTGTATGGAGGTGGGTGTATAGGTGCGTTGGATTTCAAAACAGCGTGTTGCTGTGCGCGGGGCGTTCTGGGCAACGCAGGGGGGACGACGTGAGAGCGGGGCGGCGGGCGCCAGGAGCCCCGCAAATCCAGCGGCCCGCGCCCCTCTCCTCCCAGAAACACCGCAGACAAGGGTGGCGCGCGACGCGCACACACGCCCCACACGGTTCAGGGGTCTGCCCAGCGGGCCCCGCCGCGTGTTGAACCCTCGACCATGCTGCGCCGCCACCCGTGCCGACCGCGCAGAAACGCAGCCAGGCGCAGGAAAACCCTGTCACCTGGGGTATCCACGTGAACCACACCCAGCTGGGCACGTCGCCCGCCGCCACCACCTTCTGTAACTCCGCCCCCACCACCCCTGGACGTTCGTGGGGCGGTTGCGGCGGCACGCGGGGCGCACGTGAGGGTGCGGCGAGCGCGCGGGCCGTGTGTGCATTCAGGGGCCGGGCCGGAGCGGACGTGCAGATGAGGCACGAGGGAAGCACGCGTTATCATGTCAGTGCGTATCGCAGGTGGCTTTGATGGTGGGAGGAGGGATTTGGCCGCACCGTCTACGTCGTCAAAGGACAGGAGCAGCAGCAGCCGCGGGATCAGGTCCCGCGCCTCCTCGCTGCCCAGACGCACGCCCTGGGGCGGGGCAGAAGGCGATGGCAGGGGTCGGCAGGGGAGACGGGGGGCAAAGGGGTCAGCGAATTCCGCGCCCGGCCCACGTTCAAGCAACCAAAACCTTTGGCGGTGGTGCCGCATCACAAACCCTGACCGTACAAAACCAACCCAATGATCGATCAGACGCCCCGGTTCCATCCACCCCCTCGGCCCCGATCTTTGCCGGCTGGCCCGGGCAGACGAGCAGGCACCCGCCCGCCCCCGCGCCCCCATCTCGCCACCCTCCGACCTGCAGGTAGCAGTGCGCCGCATACTGCAGGTACCGCGCCGCCTGCGGCCCCGCGGGCTGCCTCTCGTAGGCCGCGTCGCAGGCCTGCCCCCAGGACACCCAGGCCTCGGGGCAGGTGCGCCACAGCATGAGCGATGTGGCCAGCGCGGCGTTGGCCGCCTCGGGGTCGTTCAGCTCCTGGGGCGGTGTGTGCGTGTGTGTGTATGTAAGTACGTATGTATGTGTGTGTGTGGGGGGGAGCGGGCATGAGGATTGCGCATCACCAATGGCCATGCCGGTCAGAACCTACACTCCAGAACATGGGGCCACACGACAAAGGTCGCAGCAAACAGAACAAGCCCGACACTCAAACGCCCAGGCCAACCCCCCAAAAAACCAGAGCGCACCTGCAGGAACACGCCCTTGAGCCTGAATATCTCCGCCTGGTGGTGGGCCCCGAAGTAGTCGAGGTTTGTGGTGTTGAGCATGTTGAGGCCGGCCCCCAGCTCGTCCTTCATCGCCAGGTACGCCTTGGCCTGTGTGTGTAAGTGTGTGTGTGTGTGTATGTGTGTGTGTGTGTGTGTGGAGGGTGCGTGTGTTTCTGCCTAGGTGGGTCTCTGTGTGCTCGTACAAATGCATCATTCGCTGCGTGCGTGGGCGAGTGTGTTGGGATAAGTAACGGGGGCCCTGGGCACGCTGATGTGACAGGGCGCTCCCCCACAACACACACACGCGTGCACACACACACACACACAGAGGAGGTAACACATGCACAAACGCACATGCGCGCGCACACATACCTGCTCCCGTATCTTGACGAACGCCTCCTGCACCTCCATGGCGCTGTAGCCGTACATGTTGTTCACCACGTTGATGCACAGCTCGGGGCAGCCGTGCCTGGGGGGGTTGGTATATTTTGAGGGGGAGGGGTGGTAGGAGAGAGTGTGTGGTAGGAGAGAGTGTGTGTTTGTGGGGAGGGGGGAAGAGGTGGGATGTGTGCTTGTTGTGCGCGGTGTGCGAGCGTGGAGACGGGGTAATTTGATGTGTTTGTGGTATAAGGAAAATTAGGGTTTCGGGTGTATGAGAGGCTTTGGGAAAGAGAGAGAAAACGGGGAAGAGACAGAGCTGCGCGCGCGACAGAGAGAAATCATGTGTGCGAGGGAGCGACAGATAAAGATGCCTTGAAAGAACTCTGCGTCGCCGCGCGCAACCCGTGACAAGCGCCCCCAACGCTCAACCAAGCGCCGCGTTGCTGCCCCTGGTCCTTTGGGGCCCAACAGGCGCCGCGGCGGTGGCCCCGCCGGGCGCTCACTTTGCGGCGACGGTCCCGAGCCTGTTGACGGACCAGGCCTTGTCCCGGTAGCCCATCTGGTGCATGTGGCTGGGCACCTGGATCTTGTTGAACGCCTGGGGGTGGGATGGGGTGTGGGATTGGTTCGGCGATGCTGGGGTTGATGACACGAGTTTGTGATGTGTCAGTTTGGTCTCAGAGGACTCGGTATGTATGTGTACGAGGGCGCCCGCAGCCCGCCAGGCTCCCCGTGTGCAGGGGAGGAAGCTGGGCCGACCGCCATGATGCAGAGGGGGGAGAGCAACCAACCAGGACGGCCAATGGGAGCCGGGCCCCCCCTCGGCGTGACGCCTGGGTCGCGGCCGCACCCCCTATCCCCCATGTGGGACGTGTGCAGAAGAAACACAACAAATTCATTGACAGGAAAACAATTGAGTAGAGAAACTGATACATAACACATTCTGCTGCTCACGCTGATGACTACGTTGTACACTGTGTTGCGCCAGACCAGCACGTCCTGCCAGTGCAGCAGGGGGTCCCACTCGTTGGGCAGCCGCAGCCGCCACGTCTCAAGGATGTCCTTCACGTCACCATACGCGTGGTCGGGGCGCACCTGGAGAGGGCGTAGGCGTGCGTGTGACACAGTGTGTGTGTGTGTGTGTGTGCGTGACAGTGTGTGTGTGTGTGTGTGTGTGTGTGTGTGTGTGTGTGTGTGTGTGTGTGTGTGTGTGTGTGTGTGTGTG